AGTGCTTCTTGGAGGGTGTGGGGAATGATGCCTCAATTTTACATTGAGAAGGACGGTAAGTACCTCTCCTTCCCCCACCCCCTTTTTGATTCCCATCTTCCCGTGCTTGTCTGTGTGCTGCGTGACTAGTAATTCTGTCCTTGTCCTTAATTACGTTGGCTTGGTTTTTATTTGTAGGTTGTGGGAGGGTTATCCCCTTCGAGATGGTGTTGAGGGGCCATTTTCAGGGCACCTGTCAATACCGGGAGGTGCCCTTGGTAGAGACGCTTCCTCCACCGGTCAGTGCCGACTATGCTCTGGCTCTTATTGGCTCTCACACTGGTTCTCCGCCCGGATCCAGCCCCTCTGCCGATCGAGTGTTGGTCGACGTGCCTATTGGGGGAGCCTCCCGCGACGATCCTTTGCCCTCCGATCATGAGGAGGAGTTGCCGACTGAGTTGGTGACGAGGGATAGGCGCTTGGCTTCTAAGCGACGGTTAGCCTGGTTGGACTCTCCACATACGGAGGGTGCCGATGTTAGTTCTTCTATCCGACGCCTTTATAAAAGGCGAAATGTGGACTTCCTTTTGGGGGAGTCTGACGTTGTTGTGAACATTCCCGATGATGACCCATCGAAACTGTCGGAGGGAATGAGTAAAGAGGCGACATAACAACCTCATTAACCCAAGAAGGAGCCCTAGAATGCTACCACCCTGTAGGGGATCTTTGGGCTTGATTCAGATGACATGTCCCAAGTTCCTCCCGAACCAGCTTTATTCCCAGCGAGAGACGGAGTTTTTGCAGGTTCTTCCTCTCCTCCTCCGTCGATTTTTGCCATCTATGTGCCAGAGTGGAAGCTTAAATGAGATTCTCTCTTGACGAAGCATTCTGTTGCGTACGAATGGAGTCTTCATTCCTTTCCTCCAGGTACGATTGAAGCTCTGGAACTCCTCTCTAACTCCCATATAGCTAACAGCCTGCAATACGCAGCCGCTCATGTTGCCCCTACATGGTTGCTGTTGCACAATGCCTTCGCCAGGTTAGTTCGGACTCTAGAGAGCTTGCCTATATAAGGGCCGAGTTGGATAAGCTAAAGGTGAATCTGTTAAGTTTGGAGGAGGAGAAGCGCATGCTTGAGGAGCATTACCATATCTTGGCTAGGGAAAAAGCATCTTTGGAGGAAAGGGTGGCAACTTTGGACGGGTCGGTGGAACGTTTTTCTCAGCGAATCGAGGTCTTGGCGGAGGAGACGAGGGTGCTGGAGGGTCAAGTGGAGGATGTTAGTAGGCTATTGGAAGGGGGGCATGAGGAGGAAGGTTGTGGAGGATGATTTGAAGTGGCTGATCCAGAAGGGTGTTGTTCGGGTGGTGGACAAGGTGGTTGAGAGCACTGACTTTTCTGTGTGAGGCGTATGAAGGCAGCTTGCATGGCTGCCGGGGTTGAGGGTGGTAAGTAGGTGATTAGGGAGCAGAGTGCTACCGGGAAATTCGTGTCTGGCGAGCCGAGTACCCTTCTGGAGCATACTCAGGCAATGCATGCGGAGGTGAAGTCTTTCCTGGAGACTGATTTTTCCTCCTACCTCCACCTTGGTGAGTTGAAAATGTAGGGTCTCCATCAACTGTGTAGTGATCCAGACGTCGAAGGGAAACATCTTGAGGCCAACACTTCTGGGGCTCGACCTTCTTCCACTCCTCCCAGTATGTGATTTTTATCCTCCCCTCAGTTGTTTGTTGTTTGAGAAATTGTTTGGATCTTTCCGGTGTTTGTGAGACAATCTTATTAGGTAATATTTGATTTCGTATTGGGCCATGTGTGGCGTTTCTAAGTCTGGGGGCTGTCTAACAGACAATTTTAACTTCCCTACTTTTTGATGTTTTAACTTTCCTTAGTTTATCGCATTTTCTTGTTGTCCTTGGTGGTTCGTGTTGGCTACCTTAGGTTTAGGTTTGTCTTGAAGGTTGATATTGGCCTTTGGAGCAGTCGTGCTTTTTGGTTTCGCGTTGAGGGAAATTGGTTATGATTCCCATTTGTTTGGTAGATTCGCTGGACCCAAAGCATGTTTCTTGGGTTTAGCCCGGGAGCTCGCTCTGGTGGGGTTGGAGTTTGTCCCTTTTTAGTGTTCTGGGTTTATCATTGTAGGATCAAGGCCTTGGTTGGCCTTTGGTTATGAACTCTGGCTGGTTCATTTTGTTAGGGCGCCCTTTTTTAACTAAAGGTTTTTTTTGTGTTGCCTTTTTGGGACTTTTCTCTAAGTCCTGAGTCAAGGAGGATTGCACTCCGACCCCAGTCATCTAAGCCAGGTCGAGATCATCACCTCGAGGCCTAAGGGCTTAGGTATTGTATATTTCGAGGGAAAAGTTATGATCCATTAAGGCCCCTACTTGTCATGGTCAGGAGTTGTGGCTCTTTCAATTTTACTGACGTATTTTTAAGGAAAGGTTATGAGCCTTTGAAGCCTATGGTTTCCTTCTTACATCGGTTTCGCTCAAACGACGTGGATGATCAATCCTTGTTGTCGTTTGGTAAATATGTACAACCTCTTATGGGTGGTGTCGAGCTCGAGTACATATATTTTAACGGTATATGTATATTTTGTGAAAAGACAACTTTCATAGTTTCATTAATGATGTTTTTCTTTCTGGGAAGATCTACATTTTTTTTGAATAAGGGAAGAGGGGTGACTGCTATGTGAGCCAACTCTTGGCCCTTGTGTTGTTTTTCTGGGGTGTAATTATCCATTCGAAGTTTGATCACATTGCCCCTACTTCGGATTCGCTTCATTTAGGTCTCTCCCTTTGCTCTAGGGATGGTGGTATGATCCGTTTGAGTGTTAAATTCCGGGGATACACCCCCATTTTGGGCTCTTATGTTCCGAACTCCCCCTTGATTTGTTCTTACATTTCTTCTTGCACGTTCCTTGGCGGACCTGCTCACACCCACATATTGCTTTGCTTCGTTGTTGTTTCTGTAGAAGTTCGGTTTTCGCGACAATCAAATCGTTACCTTGAGCAGTGACACTGCTTTCCCGGTCTTCGCCTGGCTGTATGGTACGTTTCCGTCAGGCGGTAGCCCTGCGGCATCTATGCTCTTGTAGCCCTGGTATCGCCTGAGCGTGTTTTCCCAGGGCATGGTTGTATCCTTGCACATGCGGGATCTTGATATTTCTGGGTGGACTGCCTTCCCGGGAGTGACCTTCAGATCCTCTTGTCTCCTGGTGCCTTCTGACTGGTTCTTTTGTTTATGCTTTGTCACAACCTCCATGTCTACCCTTGTATTGGTGTTTGGGGCTTTGTTTGGTGGGAGGTCATCCTGGAGGTGATCTGAGTGTAATCTGATTTGGCTAGAGGGCCCTGTGGTTTTGTCGATTTGTCCTAAGCTGACTTCTTTTCTGGGAGCTCACTTGGCTTTCTTGTCTATCCATATTTTTGGCAATCTTTTCTCCGTATCCTGGTGCTTTCGTGTTTTCTGTTTTTTAGTTTCACAAGAGAGGTGGGCTTCTAGGCCTCTACGGGTCAATACTTCCTCACCCGGGGTAGGTCGACTTTTGGGCTTTTGCTGTCGTCCGTCATGGCTTCTTGCCTTGAGGTGATGTGCAAGGAAGTTTGAGAAGACCGAACCCGTGTGGGTGTTCGTGTCGGATGCCTTTGTAGCTCCCGGCTTAGCTTTATTGTTGTAGCTATGCCCTCCTCCTCCTCCTCCTCCCCCCCCCCCCCCCCCCCCCCGCCGATTATCTCCCATTAGGACGTTCTCTCCCTCACCTTCCTGATCTTGCCTAATGGGTACCGGAGCTGAATTTGTGACATCCCGAAATTTAGGTCAAAGACTGTGAACGGTCAAGTTCACAGTAAGTCTCTTAGTAAATTGACTCATTGAGTTTTAGTCCACCCAATATAAAATAAATGAGTTATTTCAACTATTATAAGATACCAGATGGTATCTTACTTCCAAAAATGTAATATGACAAACAAATCAAACATCTCAAACTGCAACCTTAGGAATGTGTCTGAAAAACTAAAATTTCGTATTAAGCAGTTGTGAGCAATACAAACACTCTAGTCTCGTAGTATGTGTTTCCCTGATTTCGAAAATATAAAGAATGTCCAAAACGGTTTCCCTGATTCCGAAAATATAAAGAACGTCCAAAACGGAGTTCATATGCAAAAGATATGACCGTTTTAAGATTCCAAAACCAGTATAATACTGATTTTCTTAAAATCGCTAAAACCGTTTCTAACCGTTGAGGGACTTGCACACCTCAAATGGAAATTCCGAAAGCATTTTTGGACTCAGGCTATAGCCTAATATCAAAGTACATATTTGAAATATTTTTATAAAAATAATTATAAAAGTAAAAAATCAGACGTTTTGTCAGCTTAATTAAACGTGAAACGTTAAACGTCATTTCACAAAGATCAGTTTAACATAATTCAATTCCGTCTACATTTTTGGAATCACCACGACCTGAACATTAAGCAGACGTTTTTAGAAAATTTATATGAATCGATAAGAGGACACGAGAATCAAGGTATACATCACGATAAATAAATATATATAAAATATATTGTAGCTATTATTGTGAAAAATATTTATAAGATTTATAATGACAAGGCCACTATATATGTATAAATATTTTTGGTGTCGTATGCGACTTCAAAATATCCAAATTAATCGTATAATCGCAATGCATATATGTTATATAATTAAGAGTTATATAACAACAATAAATATATATAAATTTATATATACGTTTATGTAACACTTCCAAATACCAATTAATAGTATATATGTCAAAAATTGGACACCTATTATGTCTAAATATTCAATTTCTTTATATATATTACAAACATACATGGAAAACTTTTAATATAAAAGTGTATAAATATTATGTATGTATTGTTGTTATAAAATGTGGCCAACCTATATACACATACATACAAGAGTGTATATTAAATCTATTAAAAATATACATCCATACAAATCAATAAATTCATACACAAATACATATTTAATTAAATCAATACACACACATTACATACATAGAAAAACAAATACATAATACCAAATACTAAAATAAAACTTATATTCTTTACTCTTAAATTGACAGCCAAACAAGGATGAAACTTATAAGGTCCTCAATTATTGTACAACTTGCTTCTAACCTTCAGCTTATCCAAAACCACACTCAAAACAATGTACAAAGATAAAAAAAAATCGATACTCAAACACACTCTATCATCTTCTGATCGTGAACAATCAGGAGGAAGAACATAAACACTTTCTTTTTCTTAATCCGTTTTCCTTCCCTGTCAACTGAAACATTCAAACATTCAAAAAAAAAAAAAAAAAAAAAAAAAAAAGATTCATCCTGTTCTTTTTCTACCCTTTCGGTGGACAACAAACAGCCAAACACCCTTTTTCCTCAACTGATTATCTTTTTGTTTCCTGTCAATCGAACCCTCCCAAAAACACCCTGAGAATCGCTTTTACTACTACCTTCTTCTTTCATTGAGCTGCAACCAATGGACTAAGAACATTACAATCCACCTTTGTCCCTTTCTGTTCCGATGACCAAGCCTCAACCCAAACATCCATCGATTCTTTATCAAACATCAACACATAAACATCCATTCCCTATATCAATTTCTGTCAAGAACAATCAAAAAAAGAAAAAGAAAAGAAAGAAGAAGAAGAACAGGGGAGGCTGCCGGAGCAGCCCCCATTCGCTCACCTGCTACTGATCGATGTAACAGCCCCACCCTCGCACTCCTCTTCTCCTCTCGTCAGTTCCTCCCACCGAACCCTTGAATCGCTCACCCCATCGACCCTCGCGACACTCCACCATTTCCTCCGTCACTTCAGCCTCGTAAAACCCCGAAGACAAACCCCTCGTCGCCGATCGCTCCATCTCCTTCGCGAGATGACGACCGCCATCAGGTCTCGCAGTCGCTTCACGTTTCCCCTCTCTCCACCTTCGGTCATTGCTTCGCCATCGGACCTCCTTGCTGCCGACGACGTACAAAAGCTCCTAAGGGAGTCGCCGGAGAGTGGAATTCCTCCTCCTCACAATGGATCGATCACCCACCAGTCGCTACTTTGTACGTCTTTTCCCCTCCCTTCGTTCGTGCCTTCGTTCATTCCTTTGCTTACACGGATACCATTGTATTTGTTATAAAATGACCAAACTACCCTCCCTGTTAAACTCTTCATTCAAAATAGGTCCCAATCCCCAAAAAGTGATTCCATTTATCCTCTTCATTCAAAATAGGTCCCAATCCCCAAAAAGTGATTCCATTTATCTACAAACAACCCCTCACTTGGTATATTTTTTACCAAAATGGTCCTAACCATTAAATTAAATTACCAAAAAGCCCCTATACTTTAGCGAAGTTACAAATCAGTCCCTGATAGTTCAAATTTGTTACGAAATGATCCCGAGAGTATTTCAAAGTTTAAGAATTGTGGATTTACGGTTTCTCACGTCAAGCTTCTCAAACAAAACGATTTTGAACAAATGGAACTCATGCTTCAAGGGTGAGTGCTTACGACCCCTTTTTAATATTTTAACTTTTTCGGGGGGAAATACATGTGCCTAAATATTTTGTTTATACAAATCCATTTCCTTTTTATGCAAAAATACAATAAATCTAGTTTATAAAAATATTATTATTTAACAATTTACCATATTGTTACAAATATACTAGTATAAATTTTTCGTATACGTATTATGGTTATTTTATCGTGAAATAACCAGTTCACACAACAAATACTACATGTTACAAAATTATATGATTTTTATGTGACATTGCATATTATAACAAGCATGTTATGAAACTCTGTAGTATTTCAAGGATTCAAACTATTACTAAGCATGTTTATTTAAATGTTGAAGTACACAACGTTTATACATGTACATATGTTCATTAATTTGAAACATTAATTTTTATAAAAACGAACACATTACACTTTTACATATATGTCAAACATACTCGACTTTTATGAACTTTATACAATGATATTCATTATGCCTAGTGACTTAATCACAATTAAGTTAGGGCTGAGAGTTATTCGCAAACTTTTTAGTTAAGGGCTTTTTAGTGAGACGTTATTCATTAGTTGAGTTTAAACACTTAGCATACCCACACTACTATAATCGTTAATCTTCGGAGCAAGATACATATGTATAGATCTATACAGGGTTGACATCCCCACGTGCGGTTGCTAGCTACAAACCTAGACCGATCAATCGAAGCGGGTGATAGGTGTCTACAACTGTTACTACAACGTCCAATGAAGCGTTGTAGGGGGTACACTCAGTCACATAGCTCGATTATAGGACTCACTATAAATATTAACTAGAATATATATATATATATATATATATATATATATATATATATATATATATATATATATCAATCACTACCAACCATGGGCTTGGTTGCTTCCAAAACTATTTTTAAGTATGGAATTACTTATGTAACATAACAGTTTGGTTTTTAAGGATATTCAAAGGTTAATTACGAACACAGTTTAAAGTATGGATTTGCTTATACAAAAGATACATTTTGGCATTCAAGGATTTATTACAAATACAGTTTAAAGTATGGATTTACTTATACTGAAATACATTTTGGGCTTTTAAAGACTCATTGCAAACACTGTTTTAAATATTGTCATACGTACACAAAAATAATACTTTTTAGACTTTTTAAAAGTATTACTGTTGTTAGCAGAAAACCTGTAACGCTCACCAACCACGTGTTGACCATCAAAACTACATGTATTCTCAGGAAATCACCAAACAAACATTCAAGACAGACTGGATTACAGGTGACCTAGTTTACTTGCTGTTGTATTATATGCCTATCTGTTAAGGAAATTCGTGTACTATTATTATTTGTAAAAAGTTTGTATTCAAATATCAAGATGGAACTCGAATGTTATTTTTTTATTGTTGTACTTGTGCTATATATCCAGTTTACCTGTGATCTATGAACTTAGTCGCACAGCCCAGCGTGTTCCGCCACCTCGGCCGGGGGTGTGACAGATTGACATCAGAGCTAAATTGGCTGTAGAAAACTCGTATCCTCGAAAGAGGAATATAACTATAGCAACTAGCTTCTAATAAAAGTATTATTAATATTAAATACAGTACTTCTTAGCTACTTACGGTAAGGGGAATATGGTTTGAAATGTCGCTTGGGTTGTTGGATTTCAGAATGGCTTAATTGCTAAAATGATCCTACCCTCCGGCGTTTCCTGTCAGGCCCTCATATGTACTTGGTAGTCTTGGAGTACAAAACAAAATATAATAATACTACAAACCCCACCAACAATAATATATAAGAGTTATATATACTCTGACCCGTGATGGGAACACTTAATAAAACTCTAACATGCCTCCAACTAAAACTACTAACTCAACCCTTTAGGTAAAACGCCTCAACTAAGATTAGTACCGTACATAAGCCATACCATAAATAAACCTGGAACGTACGTCTATGTTATTTATTGTCGGGCCGGTGAACAACCAACCTTGAGCAAGGAGTTTGACAGACTACAATGGTTGAAAGTTTTAGAGATTGAAGGATCTTCTCAAGATTCGCTGCAGAAACCTAGTACCTTAGAAACCTTATATCAAACCCAAAACAACGTATACATTTTAAAATACTTATATGGGATAACGTTCAGATTTTCCTAGTTCATCTAAACCCGAAGAAAAACAAAGAGCCAATAGCTCCGCTACTATCGTAGCAGAGAAACACATAGTTCCCAATCGATCATTCTGTAGTCTCCAAACTTCTCTCTTTATCATTTGAAATTGGTAGGATTTCAATTCTCCCTCTAAAATTTGGAAATCTATAGGATTTCTGGAACTGATCACTCTCTACAATTTGGAACCTTACCATGAAAGGGTTGGAGGTGACTGCTTACACCTCCCGATTTAACAACCTCACAAACCGTTACCCAGGAATGGTGAACCCGAAATACAAAAATACCAAAGGTACATCTAGGGATTAGCTTCACCAGGTCAAGGTCTGGTTACTGCATCCAGACCCACTATCTTTGATAGTGCCAAGCAGTTGGCCTATCAATTGACTGAGTAGTGTATCCGTTAGGGTACCATAACCCCACAAACCGAAAAGAACCAGACTGGGAGTACAAAATGGAAGTTCCATGGCAAGTCAAAAGGGAACTTCAAGCACCACAAACCCAATCCAAAACCTATGGTTGTATACAATGTAATCATAAACGCTCCCACTCCATCAAAACTCCACTCTGGGAATTTACTGCACTGTACCATGTGCAATTTCCATCATGTCGAGAATTGCATGGTCTGTAGTATCTGTAACTTAATAGGCCACACTTCTAAGTTTTACAGAAAGACCACGGACAACACAACCTAAACCACTACTACAGAAGGAAGCCGAAGTGGCTTCGAATGCAATCAACCAAGGAATTTCAAGAAGGACTCCCCGAAACTGAAGAATCAGGGTGGCCAAGGAATATCATTTGTGATAGGTGCTGGTGATGCTCGCCAGGAACCAACTGTGGTTACTGGTACGTTTTCTATCAACAACATTTATGTTTCCTGTGACAACCGTCAAATTCTGGTCTAGTCAAAGTCAAATAAAGTCAACAAGTCAAACCCGTCAACTCTACTAACTCTTGTATACTAGGGTTCACTTTATGAAATTACTGTACAACTCACTATTTTAATAAGAAATCATCACTTGAAAAGTTTGTATTTTTAGATTTCTTGAACCCTAATCGGGGTAAGTGAGGTAGCAAAGCGATAAAACACTATTACATACCCTTCGGGGGTGTGTAAGACTCTTAAACATGGCTAAACGGGGTTTGCGGACCTTGCGTATCAAAGCCAAGCACTCAAAAAGGCCACAAAAGGAATCTCTCCCAAATCTCTCCAAGTATGTCAAATCTCTCCCAAATCTCTCCAAGTATGTCAAATCTCTCCCAAATCTCTCCAAGTATGCCAAATCTCTCCAAATATCTCAAATCTCTCCCAAATCTCTCCAAGTATGCCAAATCTCTCCAAGTATCTCAAATCTCTCCCAAATCTCTCTCAAAACCTCTTTTGATTTTTTTGTAATCATTTGGGGCATCCCGACACTTGACTTGGTGAAAAACCATTCGAAACGGGATGATACCTTGGAAAATAGCCTTTTAGGGCCGAAGCCTCTCTATTGGGACCAAACCCTCCTTGAGCCGAAGCTCCAAGGACCAAATCCGAAGGCCTCTTAAGGAACCGCAGCCATAGGACCGGAACTGCTGAGGACCGAGGCGGATGAAGACCGAAGCTTGAACCGAACCCGAAACTGGAGCACCGCATCTGACCTTCAGCTGCGGTCCCTTCTGATGAGTCCGCCTGCGGTACCTGCTCGGACCGAAGTCCCTTCCCCTCGGTTCCAATGCACCAACCAAACCACCCCTGCGGTTCTAAGGCTGCTAAGACCGGAACCTCGCCCCTGACTGCGGATTTTCCCATTTTCCACCCGGTTTTCGACAACGACTCCGTTTTAAGCCCGTTTTTAATTATTTTAACGAGGGATTTTCACCCAAACTTATATTTTGACATATAAGAACCCATATATTCATAAATTAAACATATTTTTAGGGAAATCCTTATTTAAGAATAAAAATCTATTAAGTTAGATCTTGTGGTGGAGTGTTGACTTTGCCTTAGTGTATGACACAAGCAACCACCCCATGCCCACTCCATGACCAACCATTGTCCTTCCACCATACCTAGTCACTTCCATCGTCCTTCCCATCATTTTCTTCAAGCCATACACTTGAACAAAAGGTAGAATCATTATCTCTCCTCTCTCATTTCTCTCATTTCCACAAAGAACAAACACCTTTCCCTCTCACTTCTCTCTCTCT